TAAATAAATGGATAAATACATGAACAAATGGGGCGGCTGTGAAAATTACATGTGAATTAATGCAGAGCATTCTTTATAGTGCCTGACACACAAACAATTATACAGATGCTTTTGAAAATTGAATTTCTGATGAGCTATCCATGATCAATGCATCCAAAAATCACATATCTTCCAGTATTTAACTTTCAGACACTGGAGTATCTCTTCCTGCTATGTTATAGATAAGCATTTCATGACACTTATTCAGAAACGTCCAGCTAAACAGGTTTACAGGAATGAGAGGAGGGGCAGGCCCTGAGAATTTGCCTATTTCCACAGTGTAAATATTCCAACAGTGACCACTATCAGGATGTCAGTGGTTTAATAGCAGGTTCACAAAATTGCTGAAAAATTAACAGGTAATGCTCACAAGCTACTACAACCCTTCTTTGAGGGGGGTTCTTTCCAGCCTACAACTCTTGTTTGTTGGATTCAAGTTTAGAATGAGTTTTTTTTTCTACAGACACATATCTTCCATATTCCCCCTTCTTGATGAGCCAAGGTAAGAGCTATCCACTGACCTTGGCTCGATGCTCAAGAAAACAAGGATATACTGAACTGCATTTTCTGCACCACCCTTTGTATACTCTCAATTTGATGTTTAAAGCAATAAACATGATTTATATCCACACCAGGCCATTGTGAGAATCAATAAAATTTCCAGAACACAAGGTGAGTTGTGTTTAAATTCATTTAAATAGAGGCATCCAGACGATACCATCAAGGTACCACTCTCAATGAGGAGAATCTAACAGAAGAGTGATGTCATCCTGACCCCATCCTCACTCCATCCTGACATTGAGTGCTAGATGGTGCTTCAGATGGATGTTTCTCTGGCATCACAAAATTGCTGTCCTAGTTACTTTCTTTGTCACTATGACACACTATCCAATGCACACAAATTAAAGACAGAGTTTACTTTAGGTCCCATTTTTAGTGCATAGTAGGCTGGCTCTAAGGCAGAAAGGGTATGGTGGAAAGATCTGACATGGAACAAAGCTAGCTGCTCATGCCATAGTGGTAAGGAAACAATAAGAGAAGAGAGGAGCTAGGGATGGCAACATACCCCTTCAGGTCATACCCTCAGTGACCTGCCTCCTCCAACCAGGCTCCACCTCCTAACACCACATGAGCTATAAACCTATTGGTGGACCAACCCACTGATGAGTATAGCAGCCCCATGATCCAGTTACCTCCAATCACATGAGATTTGGGGAGTACATTTCAGATCCAAGCCATAACATTCTACCGTGTAAATCTCTTTATGAAAAATTAATTTAGTCTAACTCTAAGAATTACCAAGGTCCTAATAATTCCAGCACTGCTGAAAAGTCCAAGTCCAAAGTCTCCTCTAAGACTCAAAACAAATTCTTAGCTGTGAGCCCCTGTAAAAGTGAAAAAGAAAGTTAAACATTTCCAACGTATAGTAGCACAGGGTAAACATTCCCATCCCCAAAGGGGAAAACAGGGAGAGAAACCAATGAGACAAAGCAAGACTGAAATCCAGCATAGCAAAATTAGATCCTGTAACAACGTGTCTGGTACCCAGGGAAAGCTGTGGCAAGCTGTGAACTCCAAATGACTTAGGCAGCCCCACCCCTACAGTTCTCTCTTAGAGTGGTTTTCCTCACTACCACCCTGCCTTCCACAGAAGACATCCCATGTTCCTGGCTTCTCCAAATTCCTGGGATTTCCACTGCACTTTCAGCTTCACTCTCATATCTTCACACACTGCCCTTTCAGGGGCACACTGCTGGGCCTCCCAGGTCTTCTTTTGAAATCTGACTGGAAGCCTCCCTGACCTCACAACTCTTGCATTCTACATGACTATAAAACCAGCACCATATGGATGACAACAAAGCCTGTGGTCAGCTCAAGCAGCAGCCTGCTCCTCTTGAATCACGGCTGTGGAGGCCTCCAAGTGCCTGGATGGCTGAGTACTATGAACCAAATTCCAGGAAATCAATTCCCCAGGTCCCTTTTCTCAAGTAGAGTAACCTGAGGCTCTCTTCTCAAAGCAAAAGTTTTTACCTTTGCACCTTTGAGCCTTAGAAACTTGGGGTCTTGCTGATTTTCAGGTGTCCCAGGCACCTTTCCTATTACCCTGATGTAAAGTATTTGAGTTCTTTTTAATGCTAATCATTTGAGCAACTAAAATCTGGGCCAAAATTTCATAGGCCCTTCCTTTCTGGCAAAACTGAAAACTTTTTAAATGAGGTTTTTGCTCCTATTTCTCAGTGTAAATCTCACTAAAAGCAGCACATAGTAGCCATACCACAGACTGAATGTTGGGCTGTCTTGAAATTTCCTCTGCCACATTAATTAGTCTGCCATCCTTAGTCTCAGTCTCTCCCAAGGTCTCAGGACATGAACAAAATGTAGACAGAATTTTTTCCAGAGCACAACACACATGGTCTTCAGTTGAACTGCCAATGGAGTATTTGTTCCCAACTGAAACCTTATTTTTACTGCCTCTTTAATGAGCATTCTGGTCTTCAGAGCTCTGACCAGAATCTCTAATCAAACTCAGCTGACAAAATTCTAGGACTGCTTCTCCAGCTGCCATATCCAAAATTTTCCAAACTCCTCTCACAAACCAGTTCCAAAGGCTTCTGAACTACATGATCAGGTTGTCACAGCAATGACACCACTTCTCTGGTACCAAAATCTGTCTTAGTCACTTTCCTTATTGCTAAGACACAACAGCCAACATCCACAAATTAAAGGAGGAAAAGTGTACTTTGGCTCATATTTTCATTTCATAGTTGGCTGGCTCCAACGCAGAAAGGGAATGGTGCAGGGGTCTAATACAGAAGAAAGCTGCTCATGTCATGGCAGTCAGGAAGCAGAGAAAGAAGGGAGGAGTATACCATTCCAAGTCTTATCCACTGATGAGTATAACACTCTTGTGATCCAATCACCTTCCAGAGACTTGAGACTGTTCAGGGACATTTCAGACCAAAACCATAACACTTGTACATGTAACATCATCCCTTGGCATCCAAACTAAAGCAGCCAGTTTTTCCAACTATAATGAGCCAACCACAGATTTGAGGTAACACAAGTAAAACTTCAAAATCTATAGTCTACGTGTAAATAATTAACGCCAGTAATTACTGTTCCTCTCCTGAAAACTAGGTATGTATAGAGTGATATGGGCAGAGGATTGCTTTCTGCACTACTGTATTAGTTATCTATAGCTACCCACCAATCACCCCAAAATTCATCAGCTTAAAACAACACACATTTATTATCTCACAGTTTTGGTGGCTCAGGAATCCAGGCATACTTTAGCTGGGTCCTCTGTTTCATGGTCTCTTACAAGGCTACAATCAAGACGTCAGCACAGGTCCTGCCATCCCTTGACCACAGAAGGATCACTTCCAAGTACACTGAATCACTGCTGGCAGTTTTCAGTGCTTTGTGCCTGGTAGACTCAGTACCTCATTCCTTGTTGAGTGTTGGCTGGAGACTGTTCTCAGTTCTTTATGATATGGACTCTCAACATAACAGCTTGCTTCATCAACCACACCAACTAAGAAGGCAACAGAGTCTGCTTGCAAGATGGAAACAACAGTCTTATATAATCTAATCATGGAAGCAACATTGGGTATGCCATTATCTTTACCATATTCTATTGTTTAGAGGGAAGTTTCTAGGAGTGACCAACACTCAAGAGATGAGGACTACACAAAGGCAGGACTCCCAAGAGGGAGGAATCATCATGGGTTGTCTTATAAATAGGCCCACCACACTCATCCTCATGGAACACAGTGGGAAGACCAAACCTAACACTGACCTACCTTTAAGCACCTCAATATGAAACCACACCATGTGATTTCCAAAGCATGTGGATAAAGTCTCATGAAAACGAAATGTGGGTGAATATTACATTAGGTAGGAGACATTAGGTTTGAAGGCATAAAATTTTGTTTAAATGTTCTGAGCAAATATAATCTACATCAGAGAAAACTGGGAACATCTGCATTTTAGCAAATTCTAAGACGGAAGCCATGCTTTCTGACAGCCAAACAAGTGACTCACAAGAAGAATTGCCCATTTAAACAGGTATTCACTGCCAAGAAATCTAGTCTGCTCTGGAATTTTATTTATTGCTATAGAACATTTTGAAAATATAGTTAATGCCTTTTTACTGCTTGTGATTTGATATGTGATCTATGTCTACTCTAAGCACTTCTGCTTCTATGATACTTCTAAGATCCATAACCACCACAGTGGCAAGGAACTGGTAAAACAATTTCAAACCCTGGCTGTCACCCACTCTTTTTCTAAGCTTTACCCAACCACATATTCTTTCTCAGATATCTGAGCATCCCAATAGGCAATCTACAGAGATTGCCTCTAAAGGATTTAAAATGATCTAATCTACTAAGGGCAAAATGCATACTCAGAAAACCTGCATCACTCTGTAGCAGGCAAATGTAAATGCAGACAAAGACTACCTTAAATCTAAACTTTCAAAATTGGTCTGCACGTTTTATTATTCTTCCCAGAAACACCCAAATGTTTTACTTTCTGAAAACTCCACCCCATTCTGTTACAGAAATACTTAGCTCACTGTGTTTCTAATGGCCTACTTTTTTTGTTCTTTTAGTGAGATGATATATAATAAACAAACTTAAACAGTACTGTATTTTAAAACCCCAAAACACTTGCCACCTGTGGAAAGTAAGTGGAAACACCTCAGAATTGACATGTGCTGAGGATGCTTGGAGTATGAATATGTGTTAAATAATAATGGACAATATATGTGCTGAGCAGAGAAAAAACAAACGCAAAATTCTACCTCAATAATCATACGCAGAAAAGAAGATAATAAAGCAAATGACAAAGTGAACTTTGTTATGGCTGCAGTTATCTTCCAACCCACGAGAGCAGCTTGATAATGTTTTTTAATTTGAAATATAAGGTCCTGGGAAAATTAACATGAATGTTCTTACCTCTCTAAGATGAATGTTTTCCTTCTCTTTCTGGTCTAAAATTACTTCCAAGTGGCTGACCTGAGACTCAGCCTCTGCCATCCGACGTGTCCTTTCGTTGTCATCCTCAAGGCTTTTGGACTGCAAGCCTTTGCTTTGCAGCATCTCAAGGAGCTTTTTAATTGACTCATCTCGGGCATTGAGGGTTTGTTTTTGTGTTTCAATTCTCAGTTCCATCTCCTCTAACGTCTTCCTCAAAAGGAACAGCTCCTTGGCCTGTCTGTCGTGCTCAGCTTGGAGTCTCCTAAAGTTCTCCTCAGTCAGCTCGATGGTGAAGTGCTCAGCCCCGCGGTTGCCACTCTCTTGCTGCAGAAGGTGGTTGAGGTCTCTCTGGGTGCGCAGCTCATCCTGAAGGGCTTGGATTGTCAACTGCAGGTGCTGCAGTGAGAAAGATGGGGCAGGAGAAGAGACAGAAGGAAAAAAGTCAATGAGAATGCCAAGTGCTGCTTGTTGCTTTCACACCATGAGGATGGAATGTTAATCATGAGGTCCGTGAAGTCCTCCAGGGCGACTTCGGAAGCATGGGATAGCACATGGAAGGGGGAATTAATTCAGTGATGCTTTCTGAATGTCTTAGGAGAAGAGAAATGTACACATACACAGGAAGAGTATATTAGTGTCAATCACAAGGGAAATTATACATCTACAGAGTTTTAATTTAGGAAGTGAAAGGGTTAGAGGGAAACTATCACAAACACACCTTCTTTATGCCCACAACGCTCCAGACTCAGTATTCCTTGTTTCCTAAGATGTTCTTTATTCCACTTAATCCATTATGTTACATGAAAAGTGCATGTCCATTTAAAAATGAAAATAATAGCATCCACTACAAGTAGACACAAACAAGGATTTTTTTTTTTTTACAAATAAAGTTGTGAACAGGTTTAGTAAACAGGATTACTGCCTCTGCAAGCAAAAGGGAACAAATGCAGACAAAACAAACACACTCAAACACACAGGAGTTGTGGCTAGGCAGAACAAAACAAACAAGCTGCAGAGAGTGAACAAACCTTGGTTCTTCTGGCTTCCAGTAACTGCACAGCGTGGGAAATGAAAAGAAAATGAAGCAAAAAATCAACACAAAGAAAAATCCAGTGCAAGCAAACGATATTCAACAGAAAGAACTTAATCAACACAGAGTACCTTCACAGAAGAAAAAAGCAGAAAAGAAAAAAAGAATTGTTTATTAGAGCAAAGACCCACAAAATCTATAGCGTTGCTCTTTGATCAATGTGCAGGGGGAGGGGACACCACCATGAGGGTCTTTTTCCTATCTTTTCGTTTCTTAAGCCTCGCTGACCCAGGAACCAAATGTCTTGGAGGTCTCACTAGAAGGAAATCCCAACACTCTAGAAGCACCCGTGTGCTGGTTCAAGTCACCACTGTAACCAAAATCAGAATGAAAGCACCAGAAACACAAAATAGTTGCCAGGTAAGAAAAAAGAAATCTTGTGTGAAGCTGGTGAATTCAGCAACACCTTCCCCACAAGGCCAACAGCCAGGCTGGTCAGCAGAAGCAGCCGCAAACCTGAAGGCAGATTTGTCCTAGGGACAAACCAGGAGACCCCAAAGCTAGCAGTTATCCACTCACAAACACCTGATTCTGCCTGTGGCCCAAACAAAATAGTAAATGATGTGGACCCATGGCAGGGAACTCCTGCTCACAGGGAACTATAGGATTATAAGGCTGGGATGATACTTATTGGAAGAGGCATGAGAGCAATCAACAATTTTTAGATTTTTGTAACACTATGTGTGAAATCCACAGGTGCTAATATCTTTCTGCGTGTGAAACACTGTAACCACCACTGGATTATATTCTTTATGAGTATCACTTCACCCTCACATTTAGGAATGTCCATTGAGAAATTCCTACAACACATGGAACAACAACTGTCATTCACATTCGTGTGCCACGCAGGATGGTGAGTGGAGAGTAAGCAACTGGTATGTACGCATAATAGACATGGTGGATTATTTTTGTTATGTATCACTCTGTAAGGTGTAAAATTCAGTGGCTTTTAGTATACTCACAAACTTGTACAACAACCACACAATACATTTTATACCTTTTCATCACTTCAGAAAGAAACACTGTACCCTTTAACAGTCATTCCCCATGTCCCTTTCTATTCTCAAGCCCTGATAATCATTAATGTACTTTTCTGTCTACAGATTTGTCTACACGAGACATTTCGCATCAAGGGAAGCATTTAAAATAAAGTGGTTTCCTTCACATAGTATGTTTTCAAAGTTTATCCATGTTACAGCAAGTATCACTATTTCATTATTTTTTGTAATTCAATTAAAGTCCATCATAGGATATATTACATTTTACACTTATTAATTGATTCACACACAAATATGCATATCATTGCTATTCATATTAGCCAAAAAGTGGAAACAACCCATATGCCAATCCATTAATATTCAAAGGAATATTATTCACCTATAAAGAGAAATGAAGTCATGATACACACTACAAAGATAAAGCTGGAAAACATTATGCCAGTGTAAAAGAAGCCAATCAAAAAAGGCCACATATTGTATAGTTCCATTGGTGGAATGACCAGAACAAGCAAATCCATAGACAGAAATAAAGTAGCAATTCCCAGAGAGGGAAAACAGTGGAAATGGACCATAACTACTAAATCGTATTGGCTTTTTTTAAAGTGATGAAAATTTTCTCAAATCAGATGGAGGTGTTAGTTGCACAACTTTGTTAATATACCAAACTGCTGAATTTTACATTTTGCATGAGTAAATTATGTAGTAAATAAATTACATCTCAATAAAGCTGTCACACACAGCAATAAAACAAAAACACCAACCGCTAATCCCTAAGCCAGTCAAAACAAAGTCCACTGCAGCATACACAGCCTTCAGCCCAGGGATTTGGTTGTTGCTAAGCCTATTGGGAGCACGCTTTCACAACTGTCTTCTGGTTAAATACTCTTGACAATTGAAAATCTTGATCTCTAGAGATGACTTAAATTTCTGAGAAATCCAAATTAATTTGGAAACACCTGATGAATCAAGATGATCATAATGGAAATTATCTTTTCTGAGAATGACCAAAAATAAGATTTATATTCTGATGTGGCTCATAAATTGGCCAGAAGGGAATTCTAAAAAAAATTATCAGAGTGCTTTGAGTGGAAGCAGCAATGACAAGAGGTCAATTCTGTAGAGGAGCTGTCCTTTTGGGTGGAAAACTTGCTTATTACCCTGATCCTCTGCTTCCGTATCTACAAAATTGAGATCATCATAATACTTACCTATGAGGAATAACTGAGATAATTCATCAACTGCCAGGTATGAGTGTGAAGGAAAGGTAAAAGTTAGGAAATTAGATAAGGAGAGATATAGGAATAGAGGAAGGAAGGATAATAGGAAGAAAGCAAAGAAGAAGAAAGAGAGAGAGAGAGGAATGGAGGGAAAATTGGCTCATTTACCCATTCAATATATTATTTACTTAGCATCTCTCTCCTACTCATAAAATACCCAAAATATGATCAATAATCTGTGCCTACTGTCCCTGAGGACAAGTAAACCAACAGAAGCAATACTATGCCATGAGGGTTATGATAGAAGTCATAGCCACGTGGCTGGAAATACAGAGAAGATGTGACTCAGGCAAGGAATATATAGGAAAATATCTCAAACCAAGAGGATACCACTAAGCTAGGTCTTGAGGAGAGTCTGCCCCTTTCAAGGAGAGTCTGCCCCTTGGAAATGGAAAGACAGAGACCACATAAAGGCACACAGACAGAGAAAGACCAGACCTATTAAGGAATACTTAACAACAAAAACCTGTTAACACTGTAACAACAGCACTTACCACACAGATCACATATGGCTCTACATCTAAGCTCTTGTAACCTTCATAATGGCCCTGGGAGGCAGTCACGGTTATGGTCTCCACTTAATGGGTGAGGAAATGGAGATACAAAGAAATTAAGTACCTTTCTCCAGGTCACTCAAGTAAGCAATTCTGATCCCAAAGATCATGTATGACTCACACTACCACTTAGCCCATGAAGTAGAAAAAATGCTTCAGGATAGCTGGAACAGAATGGAGCCGAGGTAGTAGGAGCAGACAGGTAGATACTTTCAAGAGTTACAGAAATTCTCTTAATTAAAAATTAACCTGTTAACCAGGTTGTTTCTCATGCAGGGGTGGTTACGATGGACACTTCTAAGTTGCACATTTATTAATAATTATTGAGAGCCATTCTATATACTTTTGGGGATAAATCATTTCATAATTAAATTGTGGTTAGAGCTTGTCTAAGGCCTAGTATCTTGCCATGTGAACCAGCTAGGATGTGCAGAAACATAGCTCCGTGTGCCTCCGGTCATAGTCGAGGCCTCAATGGTCCACGATGCTGTGATGCTCCAGGGCAAGATTACATCAGCTGAACATCCTGGTTCCTTGAGAACCACGTAGTAATAATTTTTTAAAACAGGTTTCACTTGGGGGAAAGGACAAACTTCTTATTCACCTGCCATCTCTCCCCATTGTCCTCATCGATGTAAGAACATCATTAGTTTACGATCACTGCTCTCTGAGTCATCTGAAGTTATCTGCATCAACATAAGATCCTTCTCAGCATAAAACCACCACTGCTGTCTGAGTCATCAGATAATTGCCTCACCATTTTCGTCAATGTAAATGTGATCAATAAATGCTGAGGTTCTGGCTGCCTTGTGGTCTTTTGTTCCCCGTGAAAAACTAGCCATCCCAGATCTCCATTGCACTGCTATTTGTCTCTTGTGCCTTCTTTTTGCCATGCACTATAACACCATGCAAGAAACTCAGGATTCAATGGAGGGATCCTCGATAAAGAACCAGTATTTGTTTTTCAAGTATTTTCTTCATTAGTCACAAAACAACTTCAGCATGAGTAAACACAACCTGATCATCAGCCAAAAGTTTAATGTTCAAAAATTTCTCAAATTTCTATTTTATTATTCATTCTCTTTTTAAGATATTCAAAAGTAAACAGGAATCTCCTTCTCACTACAAAAGGAATCTCGAGCACAATGTGTATATCGTGTACAGCCTTCGTTATCTTTTTCCATCATATCTTTGAAGTTGGAGAGGGGATTTGAAATAATCTCATTTGTTTTCTTTCATGTTCTCACCCCCCCACACACACATCTTGTTCTCTCTCCCAAACCCCACGAGATCAACAGTTATCAGCATTCATTTCAGCTTGCCACCTACATCACATACCTACAAATCAGCAAGGCCCTAGGCTGTATTCTACAGCCATCTATTCGGAATCTTCCTACCATGTGGTCTCAACTTTTTGAAGCTTCAACCATTCTTCCATTTTGCTCCAAAGTAGGAGCCCTTCCAAAGTCCTTCTGCA